GTGGTCTGGTGCTGGTAAATTCTTTCAGGTTTTGTTTATCTCAGAACGTTTTTGTCTTTTCTTCCCACATGTAGGATAATCTTGCCGCGTACAGTATTCTTGGTTGAAATTGCTTTTCCTTTAACACTTTAAATGTATTTTCCCATTCTTTCCTTGCTCACATTGTTTCTGATGAGAGGTCTGCTGTTAGTCTGATAGGATATCCTTTGTAGGTAACTTGCTGTTTCTCTTTTGCCAATTTTAGGATCTTGTCTTTGTCTGTGGTTTTGTTCAGTCTGCCTGTAATGTGTCTTGGAGAAGATCTTGGGTTGATTCTATTTGGGGTCCTTTGTATTTCTTGGGACTGGATCTTTGAGTGCCTCTCTAGGTTTGGGAAATTTTTTTGCAGGATTTCATGGAATAGTTTATCAATGCCCTTATGAGTCTCTTCGCCTTCTGGGATATCAGTTATACAGATGTTTGGACATTTGATGATATCTAGTATTTCTAGTATATTATTCTCATTTTTTTTTAGGCAGTTTTCTCAGTATTCAGGGTGGATTTTCCTAGGCCAGTGATTCTATTGTCTACATCTGAGATTCTATTTTCTGTATGATCTAGTCTGCTTTTAAAACTTTCAAGGGAGGTCAGACATTTCCATGATTTCCATTGAACTGCTTGTGGATGAAGAGAGTTATTCTTTTCCCTTGGAGGAGAGGTATTTTCTTGCTTTCCATATTTCTTGTGGCCCCGCGGTGATTTCTAGTCATCTGATGGATGGTGTATTTCTTCCCAAACTTGAAGTTTAATCTGAGCATCCAGGAGTATGCAGAAAAGTAAACAGAGAGTGAGAAACAACAGAAACAAAAACAACCAAGAAACAGAGAAAAAGAGAAGGAAAAAAACTAAAAAAAAAGAAAAAAGAAAAACTAAAAAATAATTTTTTTAAAAAAAGCAAAAGTTAGAAAAAAGTGCTATGTTTTCTCCTTCTGATTTGCTCACTGACTTTAAGTCGACTGGGGGAGTTCAGGTGTTTGGGGCTACTGTTTGGGGGTGTGGGGGGCTTTCTTTGCAGATTTACTAGGAGTAACAAAGAACTTGGCCACTGGCTTTTTTGGAGTCTGTCTTGGGCCTTTTTTCCCCAGTGAAGGGGTCCTTTTTTCCCCCATCTCTTCCATTTTTGACTTCTTCCCCAGACCTTTACTTGGAGTCTCAAGCTCTACAGTTTTTGTGGTCTCCGAAGCTGGCAAAATCTTTCTTTTCTTTCCACCAGGTGTTCTGGAACAAGAACTCTTTTTTTGAGATATCTTTTCTGTGCCATGTGTTTGCATCTCTATATTTCCTTTAGCTGGAGTTTCTTCTATTGGTAGTAGTTGTGGAATTTCATCTTCAGATTAATCTTTCAGTTTCAATTGGGCTTTCAATTGGCCAGTCTTTTCCTTCTCCTGTTTTACAGTCACTCCTTTCTGGGATCCAGAATTACTCACTGGAACACCACCAATTGTCAGTACCACCTGATCATTAGTTACAACTGATGCAGCCTTGCTACTCTCTTGCATTATCTTTCTGTTTTTCGCTTTTTCTTCTTCTGGTTTTTCACATTCTTTTCCTTTGTGTTTCTCCTTTCCCATTTTTTTCTTTTTCTTCTGAGTAGGAGTGAATGTTCTCTTGCCTTCATCCTGACTGCTAACAAATGAGAAGGTGAGAAGGGCAGCCGATTTTTCATTTTTCACAAACAAGAGTTTCACACTCTCCCATTTCTCTGGCAATTTTTCTGAAAGGCTTTTTGTGAGAGCAACAACATTTTCAACAATGTGCTGGACCTGCATTCCAGTTTGATCAATGTGTATAGTGCTGCAAGAACCACTTTTTGAGATGTTTAAGATGGATCCACCTATAGAATTATTGATGTCTTGTGGTAAATTCTTGGCCAGAAGGTTCACACTTACCAGAACTTATTTTCTTTGATAGAAATGCCTCCCGAGGTGTGATGGTCAGAGCTGCCTGATCCTTTCATTCTCATCTGTGAGGAAGAAGTCAAGACTACTCAGAAGGCAAAGCTTGGCTTAGCAGGCTTTAAACTCCTTTTTCAAAGTCTGGAAAGGAATAATCTGAGAAATGATTTTAACTCCATGCTTGTTGGAAAGCTTTCTATAGAGATGTTCTGTCTTTTACAGGAGTCGAACTGGCTTCATCCTTGGTAAATAAACAAATTTCTGCTAATCTGTTAGATTATCATTAGGCAAGGGCCATCTGACCTTCAGTTCTTCGCTAGGAATTTTCTATAATACCACCACTAAAAGTCAATTTTCATTCTCATTCAGAAGCAATCCATTACTGTTTTTCCTAGTTCCGGCATGTGCCTACAGAGCTTCCACTTCCTTTCTTATCTGCCCTTCATCCAACTGCTCTAGTGAAGTGGGGTCTGCAGGAGTTGCGGGCAAGGCCACAGGTGCGCTGAAAGTGGACACCGTGGTAAAATCCTCCATGTTGTTCTCACCTCATGCCGACACGTGTTTAGAACCTCTCTCTTCTCATAGAAGAAATAAATTAATTTTAACAAACATCTTAGACTTCTGTTACTATTTTAGTATAACTTACTCTTTTGAATACTTTAAACATCTTTGTTTTTAAAGAATTATTTTATTTAATATTATTTATTTATTTTAATTTGAATGGAGAGGGACAGAATGAGAAAGAAGGAAAGAGAGAAAGCAAGCGGCCAGGCCCAGGACTCAACTACGGTCAGCCTTGTGGGATCCAACACCCTTAACCACCATGCCACTTGCCCACCCCCATTTAAACATCTTAAAGTTTAGATGTATATAAGGAATATACACTGGGCCAGCAGGTGGTGTGGAAGTTAAGGTGCCATATTTCCACATGGCTGGTTCCACGGTTTGAGTCCTGGACCTGGCAGCTTGGAAAACATGCCAGGTATGTGGGTGCACGCACACGGCCCCAAATCCCAAGAGAAGAATGGAGAAGAAGGGACTGTGGCGTGACCCTTCCCTTGGGAGGTGGTTTCTCACTTTCCCTCTCTCTCTGTCTCTCTCTCCAGTGAGCACACATGCCCTATGGCAAAAATCTAAAAAGAAAAAAAGAAAAAGAGAGAATGATGTAGCACCAAGTATTATATTACTTGGGATTCATTCCAAGATAGATATTAAGTACAAATAACAACAAAACCCTGGCTTTTGACAGAAAGTGGAAAAATATGGAAGATTTACTGCTGAGTGAAGCAAGCCAGGCTATAAAGGAGAGACACTGTATGTCCCCACTTAATATATACTGAATGTCCACACTCTCTAACTGAAACTGACAGGCTAAAAGATGTACAAACACAAGAGGTGGATGTGAATGCCAGATGTGGTGTGTGTGGAGGAGTGGGGCCTGGGGAAGAACATTTGGAGGAGGCATACGAAGACAGCACTGGTGAGACAGGGAGGTAGGGTTGTTATATTTTGATAAACTTGACTAGGGAGAAATGTTCATATATTGAAATGATCACCTCGTAAGCTAAATAATGTGATTGAATGTATTAAAAATGTAAATAAAAACATTAATAATAAAATATAGCAACAAATAGTGTATAAATGCTATACTTTGAGAGAAAAAAAATGTACGTGTATATGTGCACAAACATATACATACTCTTCACGTTATATTGGCTTACTCAATCCATCCTGCTTCAGTCTAAGCCTGCCATCTTCGGAGTTGCAGATGATGAGAAATGTACGTATTCTTCTCACTGATACCTGTCAAGTGTTTGGGTAGGGTAGACAGAGGGAAAATGGTCACTGGGAATTATGAAGCAAGTGGGGTCTCATGTATCTCTTTTCCTCCCTCAGCTCTGCCTTTTTCCAGAGGAGGCCTTTTCCTGCAAATATCAAAATCATGGCTCAGGTAAATAGAGTCACTTTTATGGCTAGTACATATACACATTTGCTTTACTTATCACGATGCTTTCTGGTATGAACAACAATACCTTTCAGATAGTTCAGTTATAAGCAGTGCCAATATTTGCTTACCTTTGCTGGAAAGGAAGGGAAACAATAGTGTCTCTTTATTCAAATAGACCAATTGAAAAATTTCTCTCTTGATAGAAATATTTATAGAAAAAAGAAGTGGTTAGATAATCATCATTAGGAGTTTCATACTCTTAACTTATAGTTAACCTAGTCAGCCAAATGCTAGGATAACATTTCTTTGATTAAGTTTTAGTCAGATTAAAATCCATCATGAAATTGCTAATTAATTTCATTAAGAATGCCTGTGTATTAAGAAATTGTGTATTAAGATAATTTCTTGGGACCAGCAGGTGGCGTGGTAGTGAAGGCCCTGGACATTCCCACATGGCTGACCATGGTTTGAGTCCTGGACCTGGTAGCTTACTCTCTCTCTTCTTTCTCCCTTCTCTCTCTCTCTCCCTCTCTCTCTCTCTCTCTCTCTCTCTCTGTGTGTGTGTGTGTGTGTGTGTGTGTGTGTGTGTCTGGTCAAATTTAAATAAATGAATGAATAAAACTAATACTTTTTTTAAAGAATTATTTCATTTATTTATTTATTTTTATTTGGCCAGAGAGGGACAGAATGAGACTGCTAGAGAGAGAGAGAGAAAGTAAGAAAGCAAGCTGCCAGGTCTGGAACTCAAACTGTGGTTGGCCATGTGGGAGTCCAGCGCTTCCAACCACCATGCCACCTGCCAGCCTCAATAAATAATTATTCAGAAATAAATAAATAAATAAACATAATTTCCTGGACCAGCAGATGGTGTAATGGTTGTGTCACTGGACTCCCATGGAGTCGACTGCAGTTCAAGCCCCAGACCCAGTGACTTGAAACTCATACTAGGCACATGTGCATGTATACCCAAAATCCGGAGAGGAAAATGGAGAAAAAGGGATTGCAGTATGGCCATCTCCCTGGGAGGTGATTCCTCACTTTATGTCTTTCTTGTCTTTCTCTGTCTCTCCAATGAGCACACAAGCCCTATAGCAAAAATCTCTCTCTCAAAAAAATAAAAGTTAATTTCTTTATTTGACTCAGACTCTATCTGACACAGACCAAGTTTGGAACAACTTTGTTTATGCTGAGTACCAGGATCCTTCTTCAGGGATTTGATCCGCTCAATATCCCAGTGTCTTCTTCAGTTCCCTCTTCTTTTAAACAGCGTTCACGCCCTTATTTACTAAATCTTTTCACATCTCCTATCTCAGAAAGTTGGAGAGGGAGGGAGAGGGAGTAAGAGGAAGAAAAAGGGAGAAAGCACTTCCCCAACACGGCATGTTTATGCCACAATCCTTTCTCCTTTATTTCTGCATCTTGTGATTTTGGATACATGTGCATGTGTGCCTCCAGCGTGCTTTTCAAGCCACCAGGGCTGAGATTCAAACTGTAGTCAGCCATGTGGGATCCAGCTTCCTTAATCACTAGGCCACAGGGCAGGACCTATACATTTTATTTTTCAAGATAAAAAAAAATTTTTTTTGAGAGGTTTTTGCTATAGTGTGCATGCACTCACCAGAAAGACAGAGACAGAATGCGGGAAATCATCCCCCAGCAGGGATAGCCATGTCGCAATCCCTTCTCCTCCATTCTCCTCTCGGGATCTTGGGCATTCACGCACATGCACCCAGCATGAGTTTAAGCACTGGGTCCGGGACTTGAACTGCAGTCGACTGCATGGGAGGCCAGTGACATAGCCAATAGGCCAACTGCTGGTCCCCAAGATAAAATTTTTTAAAAGTTGTTTTGCACATGTTAACAAGTGAACTAATGCTGCTGCAGGCTTGCCTATCTCCATTCCGAGTCCCCAAATGTTTCTGCTTTCAGCTCTTTTTTTTTTTTTGGAGAGATTTTCGCTATAGGGCGCGTGCACTCACCAGACAGAGAGAGACATAGAGATAGAAAGTGAGAAATTACCCCCCAGGGGGGATGGTCATGCCGCAATCCCTTCTCCTCCATTCTCCTCTTGGGATCTTGGGTATGCACACACACGCTCCCGGCGTGAGTTTTAAGCCACCGGGTCCGGGACGTGAACTGCGGTCGACTACGTGGGAGTCCAGCGACATAGACATTACGCTAACTGCTGGTTCCCTGCTTTCAGCTCTTCAATATGGTTTAATTGCTATTTGTGTATGGGTGAGCTAGAGGGTGCTTGCATTCACCAGAGAGAAAAAGAGAGAGGAGAAAACATGCCCCAAGGGGAGTAGCCATGCTGCAATTCCTTCTTCTCCATTTTTCCCTCCTTTTCAGATTTTAGGCATGTAGGCAGATGTACCCAGCATGTTTCTCAAGCTGCTGGGTCTGGGACTCAAACTGTAAGTCGGCTGTAGGAAGCTGCTCAAACTTGAAGAAACATTGGGCTGTTCCCTACAGTTGGCCATGTGGAATCCAGGTGACTTAACCACCAGGCCACAGAACTGGCCCTACTTGCTATTTTTTGATGAGTCCATTTTACTTGTCAATTTACTGTAAAATGAAGGGGCACAGGGACCAGCAGTTAGCGTAATGGCTATGTCGCTGGCCTTCCATGTAGTCAACCACGGTTCAAGTCTCGTACCCGGTGGCTTAAACTCACGCTGGGCACATGTGCGTGTGTGCCCAAGATCCCAAGAGGAGAATAGAGGAGAAGGGATTGCGGCGTGACCATCCCCCCTGGGGGGTGATTTCTCACTTTCTGTCTCTCTGTCTCTCTCTGTCTGTCTGGTGAGCGCACGTGCCCTATAGCAAAAACCTCTCCAAAAAAAAAAAAAAATGAAGGGGCACATTGCATTCATGTATTGCACTTTCCCTTTTCCTGATTCAGTTCTTAATTATATATATATCACTATTTTTGGTTAACTCAATAATGTACACATTATTATGGCTGGATATACTGTTCTCTGCCAAGCCAATCCATGGCTTTATTCTAATACAGCCATTTATTTTCCTGGGATTAATTGCCTTTGTTTTTTCATTTGCTGAATTGTTCATACATTTGTATCCACAATCTCCAACATCACTGCCACATGTCAGTCAATACGTTTTCATCTGTTCAAACATATCAGTTTCTTTCGAATGCAGAGACTGCCTCTTCATTCTTTTTGACCCCTGTTCCCTTTTGGTCTGGTTACTCTTTAGGCCTACTGCACAGTTTTCCTGAGACTTCTTTTTTTTCACTGCATTTTCTTTCACCACTGTCTTTTTTACTAATACACAGGTCATCTTTTCTGAGTTACTTCTTTTTTTAAATTTTTAAAAAATAATTATTTAATTTTAATTTTATTTATTCATTTATTTATTTTAATTTGACCAGGGAGAGACACAGAGAATGCAAGAAAGTAAGCCACCAGGTCCAGGACTTGAACTGTGGTCGGCTATGTGGGAGTGTCCAGTTCCTTAACCACCACACCTGACCTGCCAGCCCTGCTGGAGCATATCTTTTAGTATTTTCCTAAGAAATGTTGCTTGAGTTCTTGTGTGTTTAGGGATGTATTTTTTCAAGATTCACAACAGAGTAATAGTTCGGTTATAGAATTCTAGTTCAGAATTTATTTTCTCCAGAATATTGAAGAAACATATCAGAAATCTTGAAAAATTGTTCTCTTTATTGTGGTCTAGAATTCTAGCTCAGAATTCCTTTTCTCCAGAATATTAAAGAAACATATCAGAATGCTAAAGAAATGTTCTTAATTATTTCTTGCTTTTGCCATAGGGTGCCACCACGCCCTTAATTATTTCTTGCTTTTGGAGGTCTTCCTGAGAATTCTTTTACTCCTCTGATTCTTGATATCTTATATGACCTACTTTCCAGATTCTTATAAATGTCTTGACTTTATCCCTAATTTTGGAAATTTACTCTTAGCTATTTGGGAAAAGGGGAGGAAGAAAGATCACCTATATTGTGCTAATAAGCATTCATTCATTTGAGAAATTTCTCTTAGCTGGGTTATATAGTGTCCCAGTCTTGTTTGGATAGTGCAAGTATTCCATCATGGTCAGGCTTTTGTCTGGAGGAAACAGAATTACAGGGACGCAAAGTAAGATAGTTTTGCTTATTTATTTAGTCTTCTGCTGTGTTCAGATGTTCACTATATTTCACTTCCTCTAATCTTTTTCTTCTCTCTTTCTGTCACAAAAACACTTGTATTTATTAATCAAATTATACATGGTTGTTGTTCCAGGAGTCATTGATGTTCAGTGATGTGTCCATAGACTTCTCTCAGGAGGAGTGGGAATGCCTGAATGATGATCAGAGAGATTTATACAGAGATGTGATGTTGGAGAATTACAGCAACTTGGTTTCAATGGGTAAGGACATCTGCCCATAATAATTCAGATTCTGGCCTTGGAAAGTCTGCTTCTTCCAATATTAAATGATCATCTCAAAAGCCAGTTGGGATTTCTATACCCTGTTCCTGTCTGAATATTCTGAATATTAATAGAGTTAGAAAAAGAGAGCTGCATTAAGTTATGGGGGATGTTTCAAATCTGTTTGTTGAATCTTTCTTTGACTCTTCTTTTAATGTCATGTCTTTTTATAATGAAAGGACTGGATTTAAAATCTGAGTCATTCTCATCATAAATCTGTCTTATTCTTTTGTAAGCAGGGTATTCCATTTCTAAACCAATTGTGATCTCCTACTTGGAGCAAGGGAAGGAGCCTTGGTTGGTTGACAGACAGCTAACAGGAGGCCAGTGGCCAGGTAAGTGGGTCATGGCAGGTAACAACCCAGTTGGTCAGTGGAGAGACTGTAGCTTCCAGATGCTATCACCTCCCTCAAAAGCTTTAGGCCCGGGAACCAGCAGTTAGCATAATGGCTATGTCGCTGGACTCCCACGTAGTCGACCGCGGTTCGTGTCCCGGACCCGGTGGCTTAAAACTCACGCCGGGCGCGTGTGCGTGTGTGCCCAAGATCCTGAGAGGAGAATGGAGGAGAAGGGATTGCGGCGTGGCCATCCCCCCTGGGGGGTGATTTCTCACTTTCTGTTTCTATGTCTCTCTCTGTCTGTCTGGCGAGCGTACGCACCCTACAGTGAAAATCTCAAAAAAAAAAAAAAAAGCTTTAGGCCCATAGTATAAACATTTGACCTTTTCAGCATGAGCTTTCAAGTGACCTTACTTTTTCTTCTTACCTAATAACGTCTGTTTTTTTCCTCTTACTGCTTGTCTCCCGATTCTAACTAGCTGGTACCTTCCTCTACCCTAGTGATATTCTTTCTATCTATATTTTGGATCAAGTCCCTTCCCAGCTTATCTTCTATTTACTCTTCTAAAAGCATCACTGTCTCCTGAAATGTATTTTTTTTCTACATTGCCAAAGACTTATTTCTTTAGCAAGGTGGGGTTTTTTGTTTTTGTTTTTGTTTTGTGAAATAGGACTTTATACCCTTATTGGTTCGTTCATACAATTAACCAACATTTATTGATTTTCAAATGTGTGAAGTATTTAGCTAGGTGCTGCAAATATTTTTCAAAAGAAATACACAATTTTAGACTTCATAGCCCAGTAGGAGTACTAGAATATGTAAATAACTTCTACAAAGTAGAATTTAAAATAGGGAGCTTAGTAGAAAGTGAGGGTAAGGATGTAGAAGAGGAACTGACCCACATAGAGGTGAAAGAGGAAGATTTGGGTATGCATGCCATTGATTTTAGATAAAGTATTAGCAATAAAGGGTTTGTGTCTCTGTGGAGAAGTTAGAGTTGGCAAAGACAGAAATTTGATATGAAGGAGAAAAAACAAAACAACATATTTTATTTATTCATTATATGCTTATTGAGTACCTGTTGTATGACCAGCACTATTCTCAACACTGATGGTACAATAATAAATGGAATATGCAGAGCTTAACCCCTCGGGTAGGGGAAAGAAATAAATTGGGGCCTCAGCTGGTACAGTGGTTAAGGTGTTGGACTCCCACATGGCCAACCACAGTTTGACCTGGACCTGGCAGCTTGCTTTTTCAGTTTCCCTTTCTCTCTCTCTCTGGTCAGATTTTAAAAAAAGGGAAAAAAATAAGATTATTGAAAAATGAACATGTAATGTATCAGATAATAGTGCTTAAAAAAAAATAAAATGAAGGGGTGTAGCATGAAGGTTAAGGCAGCTGGATCTCACACAGCCAAGTTTACAGTTCGAGTCCCAGGCCTGGTGGCTTGAAAATCACATTAGGTCTGGAACCAGAAGTTAGTGTAATGGCTATGTCACTGGACTCCCATGTAGTTGGCCATGGTTTGAGTCCCAGACCCGGTGGCTTAAACTCACGCTGGGCGCATGTGCGTGCGTGTGTGCCTAAGATCCTGAGAGGAGAATGGAGGAGAAGGGAATGCAGTGTGGCCATCCCCCCGGGGGGTGATTTCTCGCTTTCTGTCTCTCCCTCTGTCTTTCTGGCGAGTGTCCATGCCCTATAGCAAAAAAAAAAAAAAAAAAAAACACATTAGGGGTGTGTGCATGAAACCGCCCCAAATCCCCAGAGGATAATGAAAGAGGAGAGATTGTGACATGGTCATCCCCTCAGGGATGATTTTTCACTTTCTCCCTTTGTCTCTGTCTCTCTCTCTGTCTCTCTTTCTCTGTCTCTCTGTGGCAAGCGCATGCACTGCAAAGCAAACTAAAAATGAAAACAAAATGATAACTAAAATGGAGAAAGGGGGTAAGGGGATACAGGAGATTATTTTGTGTGAGGTAGGAAAAGAAACTTTTTCTGATAAGATAACTTTTGGGCAGAGACCTAAAGGACAGCCGTAACTCATAATATGTGGCTACTGGTAGACCATTCCAGACAGAGGAAGCCAAAACTTAAAGGACCCTGAGGCACAAGTGCATTAGTTGTATTCAAGGAGCAGCCTAAGAGGCCAGGGACAGGAGCAGAGTAAGGGCAGTAGGGTATATGGTAGGAGATCAAAGAGGCAGTAAAGGAAAGAGGGGATCAGTTTTTGTACTCCCATAAAAAAAAAATAGGCCATAGTACATCCTTTCACAGTAAGATAAGAAGTCACTAGAAGACTGTAAGCATAGGGTTGCCATGATCCAATTTACATTTAAAAGGATTAGCCTAGCTGCTTTGTAGAAGGTGAGATTGGAAGTAGAGATGCTGAAATATGATGGCTCAGAGATGATTTAAACCATTATCAGTTTTGGACTAACTCTAAGGCCTGGTGGTTAAGTCAGCTGGATCACACATAACTGACCCTGCAGTTTCAGTCCAGACTTGGCAACTTGAGAAACACACCAGGCATGTCTTCATGTGTGCCCCAAATCCTAACAGAATGGAGAAAATGGAGAAGAAGGGATTGTGGCATGACACTTATTCCCCATGCCCACCACTGTGCCCCTCCCCCCCAGTGTATTTGCCCTCTGGCAAAACTTTAAAAAAAGGTATCACTGTTCTTGGAAGGAAATGGGTGAAATTCGAGATTTTTTTTTTGAACAATTGGCAGGATTTAGGCATACACATACACAGAAATATGTAACCACCACACCACTTGCTGGCCCTAGTCTTACTATATTTTTAATTTTTTTATTGAAAATTATCCCAACTACAGAAGAGTAATAGAACTTAGGTATACATTTAAAGAATTATGAAATGAACTCTTAATGGAACTATCACTCAGGTTAAAAAAAGATACAGTATTTACTAAAATGCTCAGGACATAAGCCAAAAACACTGAGCATACAAAGAATGAGGAACATTTCAACTCACATGGCAAAAGACAATCAATAGACACCAAAATAAATCATGTTAGAATTATTAGGTGATGACTTTAACACAGCTATTAATATTATAAAATTACATGAATGAGCAGTCATACACACTGTGCAAACCAATGTGTGGACAGAAAATCTTGGAGAAAAAAAATCAACACACAATAGAAGATGTAAGGAAGAAACAAATGGAAATTTTAGAATTAAAACATCTAATAGCTAAAATAAAAAAAGAAGACTCTCTGGATAGACTTGTTAGAAGACTGAAGATAACAGAGGAAAATTAGCGAACTTGAAAGTAATTCAAGAGAAATTAGCCAGGGCTTGCCTATGATCTGGTGGTTAAGGAAGCCAGATCCCACATGACCACCTGTGGTTCAGGTCTCCACCCCAGCAACTTGAAAAACATGGAAGATGCGTATGTGTGCATGACAAGAATCATAGCAGGATAGAGAAATGGAAGAGAGTATTGCAGTGTGACCATGGTCCATTGGGAGGTACTTTCTCCCCCACCTATACTTTGTCTCTCTGCTGAGCAAATGGAAGCTCTAGCAGTTTAAAAAAAAAAGAAAAAAGATCAAAGAGCTGAATAGCTACAACAGAGACCTACATGTGGCTTACAAAGCCTAAAAAAATGATAATTTCAGAAAAGGAAATAAGGTAATATGAATAACAGGAGAAAAGGAAAAATATTGGATAAAGAATACAGTCCTGGAAATACAGAACAGCAATAAAAGCATTAACATTTGTGTCATCCAAAGTTCAAAGGAAGAGAAAGTACATGACTGAAAAAATATTTGAAGAAATAATGGCTGAAAACATCAAATTTGATGAACTATGTAACAGTTATACCAATTCAAGAAGCTCAGTAATCCAAAACAGGATAAACCCAAAGACAGTATACTTACACATCATAATCAAACTGTTTAAAACAAAAGAAAAAGAACTGTGAAAGAACTATAGAAAAACAATGCATTTACTTAATAGGTAACTGATTTGAATGACTAGATTTCTCTTCATAAAGAATGGAATCCAGAAGAAAATGGAACAATAATTGTGCTTACAAAAGAATGCGAACACAGGATTCTGGGGATCAACAGATAAGTCATGATACATTTCTACATAGAAAAACATAGAAAAATACATCATGATTTTTCCAGCAACCCAATATATCCAGCAAAATGGTGAAATTAAGAAAAGTTATATTACAGGGACCAGCAGGTGGCGTGGTGGTTAAGGTACTGGATTCCCATTTGGCCAACTGTTGTTCAAGTCCTGGAACTGGCAGCTTGCTCGCTCATTCTTCTCTCTCTCTCTGTCTCTCTCTGGTTAAATTGAATAATAATAATAAATAAATAAAATTGAATAAATAATTCTTTAAAATAAAAAAAGGAAGAAGAAAAGTCATATTACAAATGTATATGGCAACTGAGACTATGCCCTGAGGGGCTGTGTGGGACCAGGCATTATTGAAAAGAGTGGCTAATGAAAGAACCTGTACCCTATGTCAAAACGATAAGCACTAGTAAATCATTACCGTTATGCCATCTGCTAGTCCTGGTAAGCACTATTAAATCTAGGAAACAGCTGTCATTAGAGAATGCAGATGACATAATAGTTGTGTCACTGGACTCCCATGTAGTTGACCGAGTGCCCAAGATCCTGAAGGAAGAGTGGAAGAGGAAGGTTGGAGGGATTGCGACGTGGCCATCCCCTTAGGGGTCATGTCTCACTTTCTGTCTCTATGGTGAGCTCATATTCTCTATAGCAAAAATCTCCCCCACACACACACAAAAAAAGAGAAAGAAATATTCAGATTTCTTTTTTTTTTTTTTTTTAAGAGATATTTTTGCTATAGGGCATGTGCACTTGCGAGAGAGGCAGAAAGTGAGAAATCACCCCTGGGGGCATGACCGCAATGCCACAGACATTTCTCCATTCTCTTGGGATTTTGGGCACACCTGCACATGTGCCCAGCATGAGTTTCAAGCCACCCT